TAATTATGAAACAAAGGAGGTACTTTGAGTGCAAAAATGTAAAAACTCCAATGTAAGTGATTCTTTGGGATAAGAAGTTATCGGGCATTTAGTGAGGCATACCGCAGCAAGTATGAAAAATGTGGCAAGGAAACCAGACACAGAATGGCCTCAATTGGGTTATCAGCTAGAGGAGTGAAAGGGAATTCGTTACAAGGGACAACAACCAAGAAAAAAGGATGCAACATTCTACACTGAATTGATTGCTTTCGCATGTTAAAGGAATGCTGAAAACATGTAAATCACACAGCATTCAGGATTCTGCCTTGTGCAAGACATCAGCTTTTCTTTACGCACTGTCTGTGATGGTTGAATGAAAATGGCTCCCATAGGCTCATAGGGAGTGGCAGGAAATTTGACTTTGTTGGAGTAGGTGTGGGCTTGTTGGAGGGAATGTGTCAGATGCTCAAGTCAGGCTCAGTATGGCACTCTTTCTGCTGGCTGCTGATCTGGCTATAGAACTCTCAGCTTTCTCTCCAGCACCATGTCTGACTGTATGCAACCATGCTTCCCAACATGATAATAATGGACCACATCTATGAACTGCAAGACAGCCCCAATTAAGTGCTTTTCTTTATAAGAGTTGCCATGGTCCTGGTGTCTCTTCACAAGAATAGAAATCCTAACTAAGGCACTATTCTAAGAAAGGAATTTAGATCTGCAATGGACAGTGATTTAAAACAGTATGTGGCCCCATCCTGTAGTGCCTGCCTGTCTAGATTTGGACTTTATCCGTGTTGTCTCATAAAAAGAAATATTTTTTTCATATTTCCCTCCATTTAAACCTACATGTCCTTGTTTCTTTTTAGACTTTACTATCCAAACAGGTATTTCAAAATATAGATTTCACTATTAGCTAACTTACTATAGGGGACTCTCTGCACTGTATCTCTATATTATTTGTGGATCTATTCTTTCTTGCACTTTGAGATTGACCTTAAAAAAGAAAATCTTAGTCTCCACCACTATCTGATATGACAACAATCATTATTTGAATGCTATTGCCGAAAAACTTTCCCCATCTTTTTGTGACTATAAATTTCTGCATAATCTCTTTAGATCAAACTATCAGTATGCCTCAGCCTCCTGCATGGTTGTCTCCCTAATGTCAGTCTTACCACCTCTAATCCAACTCTCCCATCACTAGAAAGTGATTCTTCTGTGATACAAACATGAGCATGTCACTCCCTTTTTCAACGCCTTCCTGAGTATTCATTACATGCTGATCTGAAAATGGCATAATATGCCTTTCACCATAAACCTATTCCCCAGCTCAGCCTGGAGTCTCCTCTGTCATTTTCTGCCTTGAGATGGCAGTGGTTAGGTAAGAGCACTGCCTGCTCTTCCAAAGGTCCTGAATTCAATTCACAGCAACTCATCTGTAATGAGATCTGGTGGCCTCTTGGGGAAAAGACCTAGTCAGTTGTCTTCATCGACTTAGACCATGCAACCCAATATGGTCACATTCAACAGAATCACCATATATGAGTTGCCCATGCATGCTTCAGCATTGTGAGAGCATAAATTTCATTTCATTTTATTTGTTCAAACCACTTGGAGTTTGTTTGCATTTATCATGTTCTCTTTGCATGCATGTCCTTCCACATGGCGCCTTCAGGATCAGGAGCAACTTTTGACTTCCATGGCAGCCTCTGCCTATACCTATCAAAGCTCTTCATATAATAGTCAAAGATTCTACACGTTTATCTACCTTTTCTAGTAAAGCAGGTTCCTCTAGGGATTATTCATTTTTATTCCATAGAATGTAACACAGCATCCAGAACATAATACTATTCTCTGTTAAGCAAAGGAAACCACAGCCTCTATATGGCCTGTTAGAATTTACAACAAAATCTCATCCTTAACCTATAGAAACTGCTTGCCTGGCATTCCTTAATAGCTATCTCATCTCCCTTCCTTCCTGGAGCATCTTATTCCGATGCTCCACTGGTTACTTTATCTGCAAATCTGAATGAACTCAGTTGGACTTCACGTTTAAGTCACGCCACCACTGGCCACAAAACAGTGATAAAAAAAAAAAAAACCCAGCCAGCCTGCTAGCTCTTCTACAGTTAACACTAACAAAAGGAATTCGTTTAGTAGATTTATGAAAACAATTACCAAATGTCTTCTGAGGTCCTTCCAATACTGCAAGATGTCAGCATGGACCAGCTGAATAGCAGCTCTACTTTCCATACAGTTTTTGTCCCCTGATTTCAGATCTTATCTCCAATACTTATAGAGCTGTCAAGTCATAGTTCATGGACATTACAGGATTGTAGCCCATCAATAACCTGAGCCATCTTTCTAGTAAATAGATTCAATTCTTCCCCAGTCAGTTGGTCAGCACAGTATTTTTTATCACACCCTTTTACACTGTAGACAGAACAGTTGTCTCATGCAGTATTACAGCTGGTCTGATCAGAAGTTCAATCCCATTAAATGATAAGGGAAACTGCTCACCAGCTCCCAAATTAAAGAGCGATGATTAAGAGTCATCTCTGCCTCTCATAATTTAGCTGAACCACAGCAGTGAAAGCTTTCTGTTGAGAAATGATAAAGATTTTAACTGGAAAGAAAATTCTAAGTACATTGCTCTTGTTGTCAGAAGTGCAGAGTTAGGGAAAAGAAGAAGAGAAATGTTAAATTAATGCACAAGCGAAGTTCCCAGCCAAGGAATTCTGAGATACCAAAACATGCATTCTACATTTCCAATGCAGAAGGCAAAAACATGAATTTGCATCTATTTCTAACAAAATGATTGAAATGCACAGGTGTGATGTTTGTAAAAAAAACTGGAGAGAATTTTAAAAACAAGGTGAAGTCTGTACTCACTGTCAGTATTTTATTTTCTTATTCCCCTAACTAAAGCACGCTGGCCTCAGAGGACATCACTGGTATGGCATCCCACCCGCAGCCCCTCAGCAACCTCAGCAATGGCCGCTTAAATCTTCCACCTTCTCATTTCTGTTTTATCCATAATCATCCAATTAACTTCCACGTGATTCTTTTTATTTTATGTGTATGGATGTTGTATCTACGTGTATGCGTGCTTTGCCCATGTGTATCAGTGTCTTGTCTCTGTACCACTCCTACTGCTGGTGCCTGCGGAGGTCAGAAAATGCTTCACACTCCCTGCAGCTGGAGTTACAGGCAGCTCTGAGCTGCCATGTGGGTGCTGGGAACCAAACTCAGGTCCTCTGGAAGAACAGTAAGTGCTCTTAACTGTTGATCCATCTCTCCACCTTTGCATAATTTTTATAAGACCAAATTTAAGGGTTGTCCTTCCAGTAGCTTATAATGACACCCTTGCAACATTCTATCCCACCATCTTGCCAACACAAACATTTTTCTATGCTCTTTGGCAATGTCTTCAAATTGCTATAATAACATAACACACTTCAAAGAATGTTTTAGAATCTGTCCACACCTCAATATTAGACCAGAGACTACATGAGAGCCATGGTGACTGACACAAAAGACTAAAGAAACATGAATATTGCTATATAAGCAAATACTCTACATGACCATACATACATTATGGCATTAATTGTGAGTCAGACAGTAGGTAATATCCATTCTTTACATGGCAATGAACAAGTTACTTTCCTCCCATGAGACTTAGCTTTCTTTACCTTTTTTAGTAAGCATAATGGGAATGTGGCATGTAGTCCAGTGTTGCATACAATGCATAAAGCCCTCGATTCAAGCACAGCAATCAATCCATCAATAATCAATCCACAAACTTAAAAGTCTCTTCATGCAGAAAACTAGACAACTGGAAGTACAATTAACCCACTTTATACTACAGGTGGTTTTATGATGAAAATCAAATAAAATAAAAAGATTTAGATATGTGTATCTTAAAGTTCAAAGAAAATATTTCACAAAAACTACAAATGCATAGTAGCAATATCCTATATATTTTAATCAATGAATGTACAAATTGAACTATCATATAAAAGTAGTTGTTATATCCCATAGCAAAAAGTGATGGACAGAATATGAGAGGAAGTAGGGGGAGAGTTATTAAAGCACATCACATACATGTATGTAATTGGCATGCAATAAAATGGCATAGCATAGTGTAGAAATTTTAAATAAAGATAGAAAATTATTAATTTTTAACTTCTGTTCACTTATAACTATTTTTGGTGATGACTGAGAGAAGTTATCTTTAGAGCATACAGTAGGCCCTTCTCATCTTGTAAAAAACATCCAAGTGAGTGAAGGAGTTTGCTTGAGACAAGCAGAGTCCGCAGGCTGTAAGCTTACACAAAAGAATCGAGGTGCATTTAATAAATGCGTGTGAAATGAACATAAATTCTAGCTAGTCTGGCCTTTAGATATGTTCAGAGAAATTCCCAACTAAATAAAAACTAGAAAATTGTCTCCATTACAATCTGGTTCAAAATTCAAAAACTTTATCACCCTTTATTTTCTAATTCTTTGACTATACAATATATTTAAAATAAATATTTAGTGTGAAAAAAAACTTAGATGCTTCTTACATGCACCACAGTTACTCCTCTCTGGCAGCCCGTGTCACAGCATCACATGCTCTGTTACACAACAAAATAGATGGTTCAGGCCGCCGTGGTGAGGCACAGCGACGACAGCGGCACTCAGGGGGCAGAGGGGAGGTGATTTCTGTGAGTTGGAAGCCAGCCTGCTCTACACAGCTAATTCTAGGAAGGCAGGGCTATACAGTGAGACCCTGCCTCAAAAGAAAATCAAAGCAGACAGACACTCAGACAGACAGACAGACAGGAGATAGATAGATAGATAGATAGATAGATAGATAGATAGATAGATAGA